GATTTGGTGATGTTGTTAATCATCCAAAACCAAACCTGCATCCATTTATCCATAATGACTTATTACCCGTCCTCCCAACCCCTGCAACAACTATCCTACTTTCTTTCTGTTTGAATTCTCCTGGTCTTCCTTTTCATGTGAGTGAGATACTTTTGATTTTGTGTCAGCTTTTTTCTTTAGTCTAATGTCAAGATTCACCCATGTGGCAGCAGATATCAGAATTCCCTGTCTCTCCCTGGCTGCACACAATAGTCCACTGTGTGCATTTATTACATTTCCCTTATCCATGCATCATTGACGGGCATTTGGTCTTTCTCTGCCCCTTGGCTCTGTGTACAATGTTTCTGTGGACAATGTGTGATGATTTGGTTGTGGATGATCCCCTCCCCTCACCGCAGGCTCATGTAGTTGCAAATTTGGTTTCCAGTTAGTAGGATGTTTAGGAAGGATTAGTAGATGTTGTCTTGTTGGACGAGGTGTGTCACAGGGGCTGCTCCTTGAGGTTTCAAAAGTCCATGCCAGGTCCAGTCTCTCGCCCTCTCTGCCTCCTGCCTGTGCATCAGGATGTAAGCTCTCAGCTATAGCTACTGCAATATGCTACGCACCATGATGGACATGCACTAACCCTCTGCAACTGTAAGCCGACTCCCAATTAAATGCATTCTTCTATAAGCTACCCTGGTCATGGTGTCTGAATCTTCACAGCAAGAGGAGAGTAACGAAGACAATTGGTCTCTACATTATCTGTTTGCATCTGTGCTCTCAATTCTTATGGGTAACAGGTGGGAGTGGGTTTTCTGGATCTCTTTACTCTTTTTTAGGAACTGCCCTACTGTTTTCAAAACCACACTTTTTCCTTACAGCAAGTCATCATTCTGAAGACCCTCTGGAAGGCTTTGATTTTTCATAGATGTACTAGCTCCCTTTTCTTTTGGTCTTGTACATCATCAGCTTTTAGCCATTTAATTGACTTGCATAATTGCAATACCAAGTCTGGGTGTCATCAGCCAGCTGGGAAGCATGCACAATGGGCATTTGCTAAGCGTGCAGTTCACCAGGCAAGGCCAGAGTGATTAGGAAGCAATGTCCTAGAAGAGCCAGCATGTTGCAGATTCGGGCCAGCTGAGATAGACTCTGAACTGAATGGGCAGCCTTGGTTAACTGTGACATCCACCAAATTACCTCCGCTGTGATACGTTGTAGAAAGAAACACACAACAAATGGCTTTGGATCCAGAAGGAAGTAGCAGCTGATCCCATACGATGCCCTGGTTCATAGACAACTATGGACAGACTCGGATAGCAAAGGCTAAAATATAATGGGAAGTTGACTGGTTTAGTCCTTTTTGTATGACGTCTCTGTGTGTGTGTGTGTGTTTGTGTATGCACGCATGCACACACATGTGTGTACATATATGTGGAGGCCAGAGATCAATAGTGGATGTGCTCTTTTATTGCTTTCTGCCTTTCAACCGACCTCTCAGTGACCCTGGAGCTTATCCATTCTGCTAGGCTGACTGACTGGTGGACTTCTGCAACCCTCCTGTGTCTCCTCTGGAACTGTAGGTACAGATGCACGCCATCATGCCCGACTTGTCACGTGAGCACTAGGGTTCTCAACTCAGATCCCCATGATGTTTGCAGGACAGGCTCTTTACTGCTGGAACTCTCTCCCCAGCACCCTTTGCGATGGCTCAAAGGGACCATGAGCAGAGGCAGCAGGCTGACGCCCCGTACATCTGCCCTTGGACTTGACTTAGCCTGCTGAAGAATGGGAGCAAGCAGAAATGGAGGAGCGGCACCTACAGCTTTGAAGTGAAGATTCCGTGGCGAGGTGGGGCTAGACACTTTTGTAGACGGTTCTGAGGAGGAACCCTGAATCCTGTGGAGGAATCCTTATAAAAAACATCATTCGTCCTTGTTAGCCACTCAAATGATTAAAGGTTTGGGAGTCTGCCCCTCTAAACACGGTCTAAAGGGACTCCATTTATTTAGCTTAGAGAGAGGGAAAACAGGCATGGTGAGGGGACTTAGTTACAGTCTTCAGGAGCAGGAGGGCTGTTCCCTGAGTGATGAGAAACAGCTGTTTCCTGCCTCTGCTGAGGACAGGAGAAGAGTGGAGTTAAGACTGCAAGTGAGTTTAAGAAGTCGTAGTCCAGAGAGTTCTAGACACAGAAGCAGAAAGAGAAGTGGTCATTTCTCTGTCTCAGAATGACGTGGCCTCCTGTCTTTCATGGTGTTGTTGACACGTGGCCTTTTCATGACTCTTAAATCTATACGAGAAACAATCCAGTAGGCCCTTTCCTGGTTTCAAAAGAGGTGAGTTGTCCATTGACTGAGCCCCCCCAGTGCTCTGTGGCTGAGGAAGCCACAACCTCTAACTGTTCAGTGGCTTCACAACAGAAAAAGCCAGAGTCCTTTGCTAGCCTGTACCCCCCCCTTTGAAATCAGAATAATATAGATTTACTCCTACATAAGGAAAAGAATATCATCAGCGGGCTGGTTAGGTGGCTCAGCAAAGATGTCTGCCCCCAAGCCTGCTGACCTGAGTTCAATCCCTGAGACCCACACCGTGGTAGTGAGAACTAACTCCTGTAAGCTGTGCCCTAACTACCATACCTACCACAGCACACCACATGCCTCTGTACATGCTCACACATGTACAGAAATGTAATAAGAATAAAAAATTTTCTATCAGTTTGCCCATACATATTTTTCATCCATTTGATTAATGTGATCATGATAGTCTTGTCTTTAGTGAGATTGGATATTAGGTATATGCGTGTATATATGTGTAGAGTCATATACATGTATCATGTATATCATAGACATTTGGATATTCATTTAATTTTACATGCAAAATTTATAATCATATAAATTGTTCTATATAGTATCAAATGAGTATATTATATTAATTTACATATAATTTCTTAAGGTATAAAAACGAGTTTTTATTCTGTGTAATATCCCTAAGTATTAATTGTATGAAGATAAATACGCTACTAAGAGCACAGAAAATATATGCACAAAGACCACATCACAATGTCTCACCTCACAGAAGACCCTATTAGGAGAAAAATCCACAGCCAGCAGATGAATCTGGGTGTGCTCTGAACCGTTGGTCTGGAAGGGAAGTGGATGGAATCGCACTTCCACCATTGTTTCTATCGTCTTACCCCATCTCGGGCACATTGCACCATTTATCCTCAGTTGGCTAAGCTGTGTCTTAGTCGCCCAAGACAGTTCTTACCCCTAGAGGATTCACAGCCTTTAATGTTTCATGTCAGCCTCGGCTAGGTGTGCATTCCGCCTGCATCAAGGTTTAGTACAATCTTCTTCAAAGACTTTTGCTTTGATTATTGAATTCTTTCTACCCTATGGAAAAGGTTGTGACCTCATGGTCCCGCTCAGATTGTCATAGCAAAGTAGTAAAATGGCTTGGGGTGGGGCGGCCTTTGAATCCTCCCTCATTTTCCGTTTGCTTCACCTACTTTACAGGGATTGTGCGTTAAGCCCAGAGTCCATTGTACCCAGCCCTCAAGTCATAGTCATTTGTTTTCTTTGATGAGTAAAAAAGCACCTTTTGCCTGTTACAGGATCATGGTCACCCCTACATTCTTCCATTTAGTGGGTTTTGTCCATGGGGGCAGGCCTGTGGACTACATTTGCATAAAGTTCATGAGGACACCTAAGCATGTAAATAAATGTACCTGAGCTACAAACCCAACTCTTGCTTCTTCCTTCTCCATAGTACTTTGTCAATCCAGGGGTTAATCTGCTCTAACTCCAACTATCCCAGGAAGCACTGGTTGTCACATTATCTCAAGCAAACTGTGAAGACGTGTGTGTGTGTGTGTGTGTGTGTGTGTGTGTGTGTGTGTGTGTTGGAGGATGCATTAACAACTAGTTAGAAAGTAACATGTTTTGGTTTTGCAGGCAACCAGGGAACAAATATGTCTACTAGATATCTAGAGAGTCATTTAGTAGCTCTTGAACCAGTGGAGAGTTACTCTTTGAAATGTTGTCCAGTTGATGGCATGACTCCATGATCTGGAGGGACAAATCCCTATGTAAGAAATACCCTCAAAAACTAGACTGAGAATCAGGAAGATCTGTATAGAACAGTATGGCTAAGCCCCTCAGTACTGCTGAAAGGCAAGCAACGAGCTGGACATAGGATTCACCAAAGCTCCGGGAGATTTAGGGTCACAGTTTAGTTCATAAAACTCCATCGTTTTAAAACAGACTTGTAGAAGTCTGTACCACAGAGTTGCACTTCCTGATGAAACCCTAGAGTGGTCTGTTGTCACAGCTCCTTCACTATCTTCCTGACATCTCGGTGCCCCGGGCGGATCCGTTTCCAGACTCTCAATGGCACACTGCACTAAACCGCTCCTGCCCAGAGTCCTTCCTTGATGTTAGCATGCAGGATTTCATCATAAATCACAAAGCATGCTCAGAGTCAAAATCCCAGCCAGAGGTTTACCTCAAAAGCGGGGCACATATTTTAACGCCAGCAGATTAAGGAAACGGGGGCAAGCCCGTTCTCCCTCTATTTATAATCTGAGGACTTGCGAGAAAGGGTGTGGGTTTTCTGAACTGCGCCCTCATCTTCCAGATCCCCAGATTAAAGAAATAAGGAGACAGAGCAACAAAGCCACAAGCTTCATATATTAAAAAAGAAAAAAATTATGGTGGATTCTTACAGAGCTTCTGTCAGCAAAGTAAAATCAGAATGGCTGTCACTTTTCTTTCGCCACAGGCCTTTATGGTGGCTGTCATCTTTATCAGAACACACAGCAGCTTTCCTAGCTATACTTTTCCAAGCAAATGGCCTGGTGTCGCATTCTCACGCATGGAACCGCACTGCTGTGATGACATTGCACGAATCCAGACTTGTAGCTAGTGCCAATAATGACTTGGAAGAGCGTGGTTGGTTTGGGTTTGGTCATGCTGCCAGCATCCAGCTGAGCGATTCCTCCTGCTCTTTCCCCGCTCCAGATCCTCAAATCCAAAGACTTAACGTCTCCAACCCAGCGCTACATCGACAGCAAGGTTGTAAAAACGAGAGCAGAAGGCGAGTGGCTCTCCTTCGACGTGACCGATGCCGTGCATGAGTGGCTTCACCATAAAGGTTACAAAGCTCCTCCTTTGTCTTCCTAGATGTGGCCCCAACAGCCTGTGAGCTGACTCCAGACATAGACGCTCGTACAAATGACTTCCTTAACTTGCTGTTTTCCAGACAGGAACCTGGGATTTAAGATCAGTTTACACTGCCCCTGCTGTACCTTTGTACCATCTAATAATTACATTATCCCGAATAAAAGTGAAGAGCTCGAAGCGAGATTTGCAGGTAACTGAAGCTTTATCCTTACTGGGAAAATCTCTTCTGAGGGCAGAAGTCAGTTTGCATGTGAGAATGGCATTGCTTGGTGAAGGATGGGCACTTTCATGTATCTGGGCGATGATCTGCTTGGTGGGAGGGAGAAGGAAGTGCGCCTCGAGACAGGGCTCAGTGACTAAGAGCAGGTCTTGCTCTTGCCAAGGATCTGAGTTCAATTCCCAGAACCCGCACCAGGGAGCTCGCAATTGCTTCTAACTCCTCCTTCAGGGGAACCTGGCAACCCCTCTTGGCCTCCAAGGGCACCTGCACTCAAGTGCACACACACAAATAAAAATTAAATAAAGGGTTGTTTTTTTTTTTTAATGGAAAAGATTGGAAGAATGGAGTAGACTCCAGACTTTCCCTGCTTCACGCCTGGTGATGAAGCCGGCTCTGTAACCCTGTGAACAACAGCTCTGTTAATTGTCCCTTTACTCCTCACCTAAGCAAATCAGCTTCCTGTCTGCTGAGATTATTGAAGTAGATGGCAAGGATTCAAGGAAATACACTTTTATCTTTCTTTTTATTTATTTATTCTGTGTGTCTTTCATTCATCTCCCTGTCCCTTTGTATCTACCCTCCATTCCTATACCCCTTCAAAATAAAACTATTTAAGAGAAAGAAGGGGGGGAATTAAAAATTACATCATGGAAGCTGAGGAAATCCATTTCTAACCCACTAAGCAAAGTTTTAAGCATCAACAAACACATTTCACCAAAGAAAAGAACGATCTCACATCTCAGTTTCTGTAACTCACCTTCCAGGTGTTGGGGCACACCACCTTTTTCTAGCCTGCACCCTATATGCAACTCTACCAGATTTCTGTAGCCGCTAACAAACGCAGAAGGAGGCTCTCCTTTCCCCTGCTCACCTTTGAGCTGAATTCATCAACACACAGAGTAAATAAGGATGCCAAGGGTTCAAGTCACTTGACTTAAGAGACAGTGGACTGTTGGGAGAGGAGGTGAAAGGGAGGCCCATGCCGCACGCTGTTGTGGCATCTGCCAGCCTTCCCTCCTAACCTCACCTGGGACCTCAGTCCACTTTTAGAAATTCTCAGCGGCCCTTGAACATGGAAAAACACTCCCCGAAGGTGTAGAGATTTATTTTGGTCTCCAACCTAGCCACGATTCTCTTGAGTGGAGATTAGATGCTTAAACTGGCAGTCTCTTGTGCATGCTTTGGGAAGCTCAGGTTTCTAAATCTCAGATGGAATCAGAAAAGTGTTGAGGATGCCATAAAATGAATGAAAAAGCTCTTTCTGTACAGCTTCCCAAAATAGCATTAGGTAAGGGTGACTTCTGTTTCCTTGAACCTAGTTCACGGCCATTTCGCTGCAGCTCGGGTTCTGCTCATTAGGAAAGCCTTCTGGGTTGATGGTCTCAGGGAAAGAGCGAACCAGCAGGCGACAAGGCGTGCTCTATGGCTGTGGGTTCTGTTGCTGAGGGCGTGAACACAGCCCACACTGAGGATGGATTAAAATAAACTGCCTAGATTGCCCTTGGACCATAGGTCAAAGACTTCTTCTGTCGTGACTTTCCCCAGTAACAGCCCTGCCTTCAACCCAGAACTGCCTTGGACAAGAGGCCCATTTAGATGTGTTCATTGTCACTTGTGGGAGGCCCATTGTGCCCTGTCTGTGTCTGTGGGGAATGACGATAGCCAGGCAAGGCAGCCGCGGTGTTCGTCACTGTCATTCGTGACCGTAGGCATGGGGAACTATATTATATAAATATTGCTGCTTATATTTGATAAAGGTAAAGCTAAATGTTTATTACCCAAATGCGTTTTTTCAAGGTATTGATGGCACCTCCACATATACCAGTGGTGATCAGAAAACTATAAAGTCCACTAGGAAAAAAAACAGTGGGAAGACCCCACATCTCCTGCTAATGTTGTTGCCCTCCTACAGACTGGAGTCACAACAGTCCACCCGGCGGAAGAAGCGTGCTCTGGATGCCGCCTATTGCTTTAGGTAAAGAAATGAAAATAAAGACGAATGTTTGCATCTGCTAATCCTAGCGTTGTCTTTGCTTCCCCTCCATATATTGACCTGGATTGAAGTCATTGCTCAAGGACAGGTATAGACAGTAAAGGTTTTGTATCTCGTAATGACATTCTCCCCAAGGCTTTCTCAAGCTATTTTATTTTATTTTTTTTGTTAAAACATAATTACGATACATCACTTTGTGCTTCCAACTCCTCCCTCTTATCCCATTTACCCATGCATTCTGGCATGTCAATTGGTGTTGGATCAGGGCAGGATCCTCCTTATGAGGTGCTCACCACCTCATAGGTCACAGATGGAGGAGGCTATTTTGGTTGACAGAGCCAGTGATTATGGCAACAAGGCTCCATAGTTCTTGAACTCTGATTCATTCCTTGATCTAGCAACAGGTGGCAAAGCATAGGATACAGTCTCGAAGGGGAATGCCTCCAGGGGCTCTCTGAAAATATCTGTTAGATTTTATTCATTGTGTGCACACCACAGCAGCAGAAGCTGGATGGCAGCTCTTGAGCAGGAAGGACGCGGCCCCTTTCAACTGTCTTCTTGCTTACTCTTAGTTCCCTGAAGATGAATGTTGATTTTCCAGGTTACAGACAAGAAGGCCAGGGTATAGAATACATACAGGAAAGTAGTTCAGGGATTCACTGTGGCATCTCACTGTTGGCATTATGTGAGATGGTGAGAGCGCCGGCAAGGCCAGTCTCACGGTGTTTGCTGTGAGTGGAATGAGTCACTTTCCAGACACAGGGTGAAATCATCTCCCAAATCCCCACTGCTTCTTCTTTTAACAGAAATGTGCAGGATAATTGCTGCCTTCGCCCTCTTTACATTGATTTCAAGCGGGATCTTGGGTGGAAATGGATCCATGAGCCCAAAGGGTACAATGCCAACTTCTGTGCTGGGGCATGCCCATATCTATGGAGCTCAGACACTCAGCATACCAAGGTAAGTATCTGAATCATTTGTCTCTTCTACTCTTGCCTCAGTTCGTCGTAATAATGCCAACCTCAATAGTGTTGTGAAATATAACCTATATATTTAAGATGATTATCTCTAAAACTCCATTTGTTAGTGGTTGCTTTTTTTGATACAGGATCTCATTGTGTAGCCTTAGCTGTCCGGAAACTCCCTATGTAGATCAGGCTGGCCTTGAATTTTTGGCAATCCTGCTCCTATCTCCAAGTGTTGAAATTCCAGCTATTCACTACCACATCTGTCTCTCTAAATCTCTATGACTAGAACCCAAAGTGAACACAGAGCTAAATATGTTATCAAGTTTTTTCAATGAGGACAGCAGGATAACTCAGCAAGAAGACCCAAGAGTAGATGCCGTGCATCCCAGCCCAAATGAGCATAAACTTCTTCTACCTTCTGATATAGTCCTCCATGGACTTCCTCTTTGTGGCTCATGGTGTAGGATTTTAGAGATGGGAAGGACTTCAGACATGGTCTTGTTCAAACAGAAGTTTTCTAAAAAAAAAACAGAAGTTAGTTTTAGAATGTGTGGGTGCCTTACCCAAGATGAAAGAGAAACCAGTGACAGTCCAGAGCTTGGATTCAGCCCTGTTTGTTTTATAACTTGGTCCCCATTGCTCCATCTTTCTGAGCTTAATTCCTCAAATGTGGCAGAAAGTAGAGGTTTTTGTTCTGCTCTTTATGCTTCTGTAAATCTCCTTATTAAAGAGGATTAGAAACATCGCCTTCACTGCAGGGTAGGAAAACGAATCTGCTGCCAGAGAGATCACATTTGGCTGAATTTGGGAGCTGGGATGTTATCAATTATTTTATACAATCTGTGTTATTAAAAATGGCTCTTTCCTGCTTATGAAAAATTAGGTATTAGTGGAATATGAGATCTACTTGCTGGTATATGCCTGCCTGGACTGGAACTGAAATGGACAAACATGGCTTCCTCTCCTCCAGTCATCTTCCCAGTGCCCCTGTAGGCTTGGCACTCAGGGCTGACCATGTGCTTGGCCATGTGAGGGAAGCTGGCTCATGCCTGTCCCTTTGTCTGAGCTCTCTGGCCAGCCTGCTTCATCTGGACTGTAGCAGCAGTAGCTATAACGCGGGCAGGGCCCGGTTGCCAAGTCGAAACGTAATTCTCCTCCCTGATACACAGAGGGAGTGTGTGAAGGCTGAGGCCAGGCTTGTTTTCCAAGGAGAAGGAAGACTAACTGTCATGGTCACAAATATGTGGTTTGGACAGTTCCCCAAGAAGCCAGGGGTAGCCTAATAAAGTAGCCAGTGTTGCTGCGCTCAACAGGTCTCTTGTCCTCAGCTGAAAACATCCCAGGGAATCTCGAGGAAAAGGTCACTTGTTTGACTAACACATTAATGGCATCCTTGGAAATGTCTCTGTCATCGCCGGGTGACCTACACGCTTCCATCAGTAAGAATCACACACTCCTGTGATGGAGGCTGGGATAAAACTGCAGAACTCTGTGCAACACTTTCTCTCCTATTGTGGGACTTGGTATTTAGTTCTTGAACTTACTCGTCCCCATCCAACATGAGGAATGTTAACTGGGGTCAGTTAGTAGTGTTGCTTTAAGCAAAATAGAATAAAGGGAAAGATTGGAACCAGAGATTAGCTAGGTGGGTGGGGTAGTATACGCCTGTGATTCCAGAACTCAAGTGAAGCAGGAGGATTGTGAGTTTAAGACCAACCTCAGCCTTATGGTGAGTTCAAGGCCAGCCTGGTCTGTTATATAGTGTGGGCTACCAAGGAGGATTTTGTATCCGAGTGAAACAAAACACAGAATCCAAAGGGATTTTGTAAAAATGAAAGTGACATTTAATCGGCCCGAAAACATTTAACAGGAAGATATCCTGCTGCAGGCGGGCATCCTTTTTATACCTGAGGGTAGATTACAGTTCTTACAAGAATGTCAATGGAATATTGTATTCCTCTATTGTCATTCTGTCCCCTGGCACATGAGTCACACACTGTCCAGACAAGGCTTCCTAGAGGTACAGGGCAAACAAAGAGACCAGAGTCCCCAAGGCCACGGAGCTCTTAAAATGTGTGGGAATGTGAAATGGGTATTCATGGTTCCAAATTTATATAGAAATAAGACCAAATAGAAGGCTGCCTGGGGTCTTTGTTTAGCAAAAGCCAGTAAATTTATGGGGGAAAATTTTAAGACAATCTAACTGAACAATTTGGTGTGATCTGGCTTTTTAAGGAATCATTTGTTTAATATGTGCAAAAAGAACACAAGGCAACTTGTGGGAAAAGTCTAAATTTATCGTTGCTAAGAACACAAGCCAATCTGACCATAATTTAGAATAAGAAAAACAATAATTAAGATGGCCTAATCAGTGGCCCTGAGCTGGGGAGATGACTCAGTGCGTAAGATGCTGTAAGTATGGAGACCTGAGTTCATATCCCCATTGACCACATAAAAGCTGGATGTGGTGATAGACTCATAACCTCAGAGCTGAGAGGGACAGAGACAGGAGGATGCCTGGAGCTTGCTGACCAAGCCAACCTACAGTCTGCAACCAAGCCAAATCAACAATCTGTAGGTTCAATGAGAGACCCGGACTAAGATAGATAGATAGATAGATAGATAGATAGATAGATAGATAGATAGATAGATAGATAGATAATGAGTGGAGAGAGACTGAGGAGGGCATCCAGCATCAATCCCTGGCCCTTGCTTGCAGCTGCGCGCGCGCGCGCGCGCGCACACACACACGCATACACACACACACACACAAGTACAAAATGTAAAAACAAATGAAACTCATCACTTGCCTTTGTATGTGTCCCTCCTGTCTCGTGTCACTCAGGTCCTCAGTTTGTACAATACCATAAATCCTGAAGCTTCTGCTTCCCCTTGCTGTGTGTCCCAAGATCTGGAGCCACTGACCATCCTCTACTATATTGGCAACACACCCAAGATCGAACAACTTTCCAACATGATTGTCAAGTCTTGTAAGTGCAGCTAAGATCCTCAGAAAAGCCACGACACGAAAATCACGGTGACAATGACACATGACAACCACAATGACGATGATGATGTCTGTGACACGAGGGAGTTTGGATTCATCACTGTTTAAAAATAAAAGTTGGAGAAAAAGCGGTACTAGTTCAAACATTTTGCAAGCTTGTGTTCTGTTTGTTAAAACTGGCATCTGAGATTACAGCAACAACAAAAAACCATGGAAGGCTTCAGTCTGCATTTCACCTACTTCGTGAGAGACACAAAAAGAAAACATCTTTTTTTTAAAGAAAAAAATAAACACTGGAAGAATTTGTTAGTATTAATTATGTGAAAGAAAAACAAAACAAAACAGGAAAATCCGTTTAGTGGAGTTGTACGTATTGTTTCCACCCCACATTTCTCCCCGAGCTTCTCCTGGTTCCTCTGTATCGCTCTGCATTGGGCACTTCCCTGTCCCTTCCTCTGAGCTAACAGTGGCTTATTTATTGTGTTACTATATAATGAACCTTTCATTAATTGCCCTTGGAAAACAAAACAGGTGTATAAAGTGGAGACCAAATGCTTCGCCACAGACTCATGGACGGCTTCGAGAATCTGAACTCAAACCAGCTGGAAACACAGGAGGTCAGGCCGGGATGGGACCCCCGTGAGTCCTTCTATGACCGAGCAAGTCTGCAAAAGTATAGACGCCCCCAGAACACGTGCTGTGTGCCAACTGCTATGGAAGCTTCACGGGTGGCCATACACTGAGAAGGCCTGTTAACAAAAAGACTTTGGAGTCAGTGGGAATCTGGAAGATTTTTTTCTTAAATCTCTTTTCATTGTAAATGATTCTTTGCCAGTTTAAGCAAGCCAGTGAAATGTTGACCTGTATTGACGTGTATTGTCAGACTTTGGACCGTGAAGTGGCTGTAGAGCTCCGATACAGGTTTTTTCCTTTGTCTTGGTATATGTAATCACACTGATACTATTAAAATAGATGGGTCTAGAAGCCAGCATAATTGAAAACACATCTGCAGATCTGTTTTACAAACTATTAAATCAAAACATTAACTACTTTATATGTAATAATGTAGATCCTTACCATATTTTTGATATTCTGTAATAATGATTGTGATTTAGATTGAACTTAAATTTGAACTTTTTTTTTAATGATCATTCAGATTGTATGTTTGTTTCCTTTAGCTGGCCAGTACTTTCGAATAAAACCCCTAGATTTTGGCTCGCAGTACAAATTCATTGTTTTAAATATTATCTTCTCTGCTTGGCTTTTATGTATTGTCCATTTAATGGCATAAGATACCTGGGTCCATTTTTCCCCCTTTCCTTTTCTTTTCCAAAAGACATAAAACAAAAACAAACAAAGAGAACCAAAAAGATATGTTTAAGTTCTATATTTTCCCTCCATCTTTTCTGGGTCAGTACTAAGTAGACCAGATGATGAAGTTTCTCCTGGGAAGACAGAGGTGTGTGAACACAGATGTTGTTTTAGAGAGTGTTTAAGAATCTGAACTCCGAATCTCGGTGACTGGGCTAGGAAAAAAATTCTGTAGCTTCCTTTAATTCATATATTTGTGGAATCTTATTACTGTTAAAAAGTGGACAGCTGAAAAGCAAGGGCACCCCTTTCTTTAGTCAGCCTTCGGTTTCAGGGTGAGAATTGAGAGATGCCCATGTTGAGTTTTCCAAAGGGGAAAGGCCCAGGTCACATTCATCATTTCATTAACTTCCCCGACGTTCAGCTTTGGAAAGAAATTACTTGAAAGAGCACAAACTAAATTCCCCCTTGCCAAAAATCTTCCTCCTTTCACCTGAGTGAGAATGATCTGGAGCTGAGGTTGGCTGTGGCTTGAGGAGCTAGGCTGTCCTCTCTTGCAGAGCCAGGGCCTGACACTGGGCTTTGCAGGGCATCCTAGTTACGTACTTAACTTCAAAATACAAACTAGTCCACAAAACCACGGATTATTTATGGTCTGACCCGAAGGGCAACATGGTGAGGTGTGAATACAAAGAGAATTTCTTTGATATGACATACTTTTGGGGAGAACTTTCCTCTCTATTCATTAAGATGAAGAACGGGATTCGCAAGCCGGAAGACAGACAGAGCAAACGCTGGTGAACGGCCGATATGTCGGGTGCAGCACAAGCCCAGTTCTGCCTGTGTGTGCTCCTTTTTCTTCCCCCTCCACTTTTCTGTTGTTTCTATATAAGTCCCCTAGTTCTGCAAATATTTTCCTCTCAGATAAAATGATGTTTTTATTCTGTATGAGTTTGTCTCTCCTTGAATGCACTGACTGCTTTTTTCTTTTTTTAAGATTTCTTGAATCTTTTTCTCTCATTTTTTTTAAAAGTCTGTGGAGTCTACAGGTCTTTATTTCTCATTAGTGAATATTGCCATGGGAAGGGTGGTAGGAGGGGGTGCATTAGCATATGGGAGGGGCAGCAGGTTGTAAGTGTTAAGCAACAGTACAATTTTACGGCTGGCATGGTTTTTAAAGAATGGACTATAAGAATAGCTGTTCTGTGTTTTGATGACCAACTATGCTGTATTTTAACACAATGTATGTCTGGTTTTTGTGGTGCTCCTAGTGGTAAATAAATTATTTCAGTTGTATGTTGCTGTGTTCTTCCTGTCAAAGAATCGTGTTTGAGACCAGAAAGCGCATGTGACATCACGAGATGACTGGTCCACGGGAAAAGCTGTGCTTCAAGCTGTCTTCTGCGCTCTTATCCCTCAGCTGCTCTCTTCGGAAATACCACACCACAGCTTCAGAGCCAGCATAGCTATCAAGGGCCGGAGAAAGGCTTTACTGTCTTTTTATTTTCTCATTTATTACTCTTTGGTGATTGTTTGGGATTTAGTTTCCACCCAGCTTGACTGTCTACCAGAAAAAAAAATATGCAGAGATATTTGGGCCATGATTAGGCTTTCTGGTTCTATGTTCTGCCAATCCCAAGGCCAAAAGAACTGGTCTAGACAGGATCCCCTGTCGCCCCATAACTTGGATAGTTACTGAGCCGGCCAGATATAACAAAAGCCATGTGCACTTTGGGGTCGTTGCTTGGGAGCAGTTACGCCTGTCCCAGTTTTACCCATAGCGCTGTAGACACACACACACACACTGCTGTTCCCTCAGATCTCCTCAGTTTTTACCTATGGGACCCCACTTCTCAAGTGAGTTGCCAGCCTCTTAATAAATAGAACTAAGGAGACTCGGTCTGTTCTTCTCAGTTTGTCCAAGGCAAGAACTTAGCTGGTGCCTGCTGTGTGGTCCACGTGTCAGAAGCAAGCCCTCAGTTTGAGCATGGAGCAGACTAGAGAATAGGTTCCTTCTCTGCCATCTTGTCACTTGCTTCTGCCATCACATCGTGTTTGATCTTAAGTGGAGGACCCATTCCTCTCTGACCTGAGTCCTGGGTTCTGTGTAGAGTGAGCTAGCCAAGATCTGTCGCCCATCCCAGTTCATAGCACAACTAATTGGTGGGCGAGAATGAAAGTGTAGTATACAGGCCAGGCAAAGACAAAAATCCACCTAGCAGCCCCCAAAGCATTAGAAATTCCCCGTTCACTCCCATTACTAACTGGATCTTTCCTTCCTCCTTTATTTTCCTTCTTTTTTTTTTTTATTTTTATGAGACAGGGTTTCTCTGTGTAACAACCCTAATTGTTCTGGAACTAGCTCTGCAGGCAGGCTGCCCTTGAACTCACAGAAACCCTCTTAAGTGCTGGGATTAAAGGTGTGTACCACCGCCCGGTTCCTTCATTTCTTCTTTCTAGTGGTAGTGCTGGGACCGAATGCAGGGCATCCTGTACACTAACTAAATATAGTATGGCTGAGCCAGCCTCCAGCTGTTTCTTTACCTTCTGGTGAAGAGAATACCTGATTTACACGTCTGCCTCCTTGCTGGGAACAGCCAGGAGGGGAAATCCTGAGCTCTGTTCCGGCTCATCACTAAGCATCCATTTTGGTAGTCTTATGCCTGTTCTGCACTGAGGGCATGGCAGGCCTTGCAGTCATGAACTCCTCTTCATTTCCAGACTGTAGCTTGGGACCACACATCTCCATCGTGATGGTTAATGTGTAAAACTCTCCAGACCCGTATCTCTCAAATGGATCTAGCCATCAGTCATCCCTGAGGGTATTTCTTAGTTCTGTAGACTAACCTTTTGGTGGCACGACAGGCCCAGAATTATTGGAAAGTGCTAGTTGAACGAACGTCACCACATGGCAATAGTAAGGGCAGTGTGTCGTCAGACCCTGCCTGCACTCAGCTGATTTGCTCTCACACTTAACCTTCATAGATGTATTTTTTTTAAGATTTATTTGATTTTTAATTACGTGGTGTGTGTGTGTGTGTGTGTGTGTGTGTGTGTGTGTGTGAGCACATGTGAGTAAAATGTGTGCAGAAGCCCAAAGAGGGTGTTGGGCCTCCTGGAACTGTAGTCCCAAGGGAATCCGGGTCCTCTACGAGGGTAGTATGCTGTTCTAAGCACTGAGCATGCTCTCTAGCCCCTAACGATATTATATCTAGCACCGTGTCATGGGAGAGCAAGTGGGAACTCACAGTGGGTTGATCACTTCCTCCACAGCCATATAGTTGGCAAGTGGGGGGTCTAGAACTCTATCTATCACCAATACATGAGTCACGTGTGGGTCCCTGAAAATTAAAAATAGCCAATCTGACTTGAGACGGGCTAAGGTATAAGATACCCGCTAGAATTTCAAAGACTTAGGTAGGAACATGTGCAAAATTTAAAATGTCTCAATATAATCATTTTTATCCTTTCTGCATATCTAAACATTCTTGGATATGCATAAATTTAAATAAGGCATCGGTTAAAATTAATTTCACCTGGTTTTCTTTAAAATTATTTTATATAATTACTAAAATACATACATGTATGTACGCATTTTGAGTTGAGGTCTATTCTATAAGACAATTCTGGTGTAGGTTTTTGTTTTTCTCTTCTCCATTGTCTCTGGTTTGTGAAATGGGTCCCAGGCTGGCTCAGCCCCCCCCCCCCCCCCCCCCCGCGTTGGGCTTACAGGTGTGTACCACTCACTCCCCCAGCACTGCTGTAGAATTTGAAAGCAGCTCAGTCTGGAAGCAAAGGCTAAGCTATTCCCATTAACTGTATTATCAGCCTTTGTTTTTGTAATTGATGTGTGATTGAACAGTGTTAGGACCTACCCTGTGGGAGGGGCAGCTTTGGTCAGTCAAACTTTAGGGGTCGACCTAACAGCAAGTCCTCAGTGACAAACGTCAGAAGGAAAATATGGGCCTTTCCTAAGCCTCAGTGTCCAAGTCCCTTGTAATTGGTAGTTGTCTACTAGCAATGGAATGGGCAGCTCAGCCTTTTTCTGGGCACACTGAGCTATTGAGCCAAATTCTTGTACCCATAAAGGCTGCATTAATGTTCCAGTGGCAATGGTTCCTACCTTCCTCAAGGGAAAAACAAAAACTCGAATACTTACTGTGCTTGCTTAAGTCACTGGTCATGAGACAACGTCAGTTTCCCATGAAAGAAGATAAGCAACATGGCTGTATCTATTGGGCTGTCAAAGGGCAGAGTCAGGTTTCCTGTCCCCGGGGTACTTAACCTAAAACTAACATATCACACTCGCAAATTAAAGCTAGAAATTACAAGGTGCACACAGACACGAAAAGCCAGGACACGTAGCCTGCAAGACTGTCCTGGAAAACTCATGGTTAGCAACTAGTTCCTTTGTATCTATCAAAGATTGTGACTGGACTTCTAGCAAAATTCCGACTTCATATTTTCTTTCCTTATCTCCAAAACCGCCCTCTCTGTTCTCTATTGCTTCCCTTGTTTCTACAGTCTCATCCTGTGATGAAGGAAAATAAGACCCTGAGTTTACTAACATTCCAGGTCAAGGGCAATGGAGGAAACATCTCCTTTGAAGTTGTATTTACTAGATACTATGAAATTGGAGTAATTAATATAAATATTATATCATGGTAGCTATTTATCTATCACCTGTTATGTATCTGTCATCTACCATCTATGCACAGTTATTGTCAATCATTTGTGTAAACATCTATCACTTAACTCTATCATATAATTACCATCATGTCCTATATATTATCATATCTTCTGTCATTTATATATCATCATTATTTATCTATCATCCATCTACCATCTCTTTCTCATCCATCAAATTTATCTGTTATATCTAACTGTCTGTCTATTTATCCCCTACCTCTTACTTATCTAACTTTATATGAGACTGCGAAGAAAAGGTTTTCCAGTGAACTTATTTTTTTTTAAATATTTATTTATTTATTATGTATACAATATTCTGTCTGTGTATGTCTGCAGGCCAGAAGAGGGCACCAGACCTCATTACAGATGGTTGTGAGCCACCATGTGGTTGCTGGGAATTGAACTCAGGACCTTTGGAAGAGCAGGCAATGCTCTTAACCTCTGAGCCATCTCTCCAGCCCCAGTGAACTTATTTTTAAAAGATTTTAGGCTTCTCCCTGAGTGAGCCTTTATTTCCCCGAAATGCTTTTTTTTTTTTTCTTTTTATTTCAGCAAGTAATGGCTGTTTGGAGAAGAGTTGAGTGTGTTCCTGTAACTGGGTAGAGACCTAATAAAAGGAACAGAATGTACCAAGGGACACTCTGTGTTGTGTGATCACAAGTAGAGAAGTGGTCCACCCGAAGAGAGCAGACATAATTACACAAAGAAAAAGCCAGTGGTAAAGAAAAAGGCCCGATATGATGTTCCAGGCTTTCTCCCTCAGAGAAGGATTGTCTCTGCTGCAGATTCCAGCTCAACTGAAGAACATAGATGTGTGCCTCTTGCCTAAGATCCCCAATCCAGCCAGCCGTGGTGACAGGGACCCTCTCTATAGGCCCAGTGCTCCATTTGGAATCATAAAGCAGCTCCTCCAAATCAGGATGTTGGGAGCAAACAAGCCAAGCAGTTGTGCAATCCAAGGCTGTCCTAAAGGCAGTGTGAAGTCATGCAGCCTGGCTCCATCTCAAGCATGGGTGGAACAAGTATTTCTTCATTTGAAACAAAATTAAACAGCACAGAAAGCTGAACAGAACTTTCAACCAAATGGCAGTGCTGGATCAAGTTTCCCACTTCCATGTGTGTGTCTTCCCCTTGCTCATGGTCTGGTATTTCAAGGAACCTTGGGTTACATTCAGATTCCTACAGAGAGGATGCAGAGAAAGAAGCTGATTGGGAAGCTTTGAGGAGCCTTCAGGAGGCCCAGCAACCTTTGGAATTTACTTTCTTCTTGTAGATCTAACAGCCTACTATAAATATTTGAAGCAGTGAAGATATCTTCATTACTATAGAAAGTATGAAGATACATACACACACTTATGTATATATGTATGTATTGCATGATTATAAGTATATATTAATCTACTATATGTGTCCATATGTGTATGCATATCAACACACACATATATGTGTATATGTTTAATGTCCTAAAGGGTGCAGCATAAGAAATAATTATAATCCATTCTACTTTCAATAAGTAAAGATCAAAGTCAATTAGACCACACCATTAACCAATCTACCAAAAACATCTACAGCTATGGAAAGGGGCAAAACCCTCCCTGTCTGCTATA